AGAGTGTAATCGAAAATAATTCTTAGACCTTTTCGTAAGGATTTGAAATTCGGTCGAATTTTAATTATATAGTTTCTGACGTTTTTTGCGCTTTATCGTCTTTTGCGAATCTCGCAGTTTAAAAATGCGTGAAAATTTGCATATTTATATTTGCTAAAATAAGAAAAGATCCGTAGAATAAAATATGAATCATTCAAAAGCTAATAAAGTATTAGCTTTGCAATTAGTTTTTCAATTTTTCAATAATGTGCACTGATGAATATGAGTAAAAAAATAGATGAATTTTCAGTACCACTCGCAAAATGGCTATTCAATCTTTGGCTAAATAATAGAGCAATTAAGCGAACAATAATGACCGTGAACAGATTCGCCGAGAAGAAGTTTACAGTGACAAATACACGATGAGGAAAATTAATAACGCTGTCATTCGTCGTGACGTATCGAAACAACACGGTCCGTTCACAATGCACTGACTTAACTTTAATTAACCCTTTGCCGCGCGTGTCGTCAGCAATTACGGCGAAATTTCTTGGTATCCTTGATAACCAAGAAAACAAGATTTTTAATTCGTTTTATGCAAATGTCATACAATTTCAGAAATGTACCAGTGTTATGGATAATGTACAGCATATGCAGAATGAGATATTTAAATGAAAAAGAATAAAAGAATTATCCATTTCATAAAAAAGGTAGCATTCAATATCGAACAAAATTTCTATATAATTATAAGCCATAAATATGTTCAGATATTTCTAATTATATTTTTAATTATCTTATCTTATATATATGAAGAGAGATATAATGTGTTTGGTTTAAGTTTGTACACTCAGTTATTTTTTTAAATAATAGAATTATTTTCTTTTTCCGCTCATAACAACGTAACAGCAACAAAGAGGCAATATCTTATAAACAACGATTGAAAATCTCATTTTATTATCCTCATTATTAAATTTATCATAAAATATCTTGAAATTGTAGTAAAATAAATATATCCCATTTAAAAAAATAAAACAGTTATGGACAATATTTAAAAAACAAATTATTTTAAATTTTTATTTAGGTCATTATATAGATCTTAAAATAATTCCAATACACTTAAATTAAACACACTTTACATAAGATAAAATATTTGCTGTAGTAAAAATTCCGAAAAAATAAAGGGAATCGTCTCAAGATTATTTTCTTATTATTTTAGAAATGCCACACGCTTCAATTAAAATTCAGAAAAAAGATTTCTCCTTTAATATTATCAGCTAATATCAAACTATTTTTCGAAGAGGTCTATTCTTTCTCTCGTTGTACTTTCGATAACTTTTAATAAAAATGATAAAAAACTATGTGCGTCCGTAACTCTTTCGATTGCATATTGTTTCAGACAATTGCGGTGATAGAAAAAAAAAAAAAAAAATAACGCAAAAATGACTCTTTAAGGGATCACATGTATGATCGAATAATTCACCAAAGCATGCAGTTTCGCTAAAATTATTAAGCCGACGAGTGCGCGCATAGCATTATGTACAATGTTAACTACCTGATGCACGCTCGCTTATGTAATTACGAAATTTACGTAACTCAAAAATATACCGAAGACTGTATCAAATGCGGGTTAAATGCAAGCTCTGAAAAAAAAGGATGTTATGTGTGGCTACGTTACCGATTTTATCTAGTCTCAAGCGGATAAACACACGTTCGCGCATGCATATGGCGAAGAATGATCTACCGATGCACTTACCAAGGGTTTTTTGACAATTGTGCTGGTGTCACTGTAGGATGTGACCTTCACATAGGGACTGGAGGCTGATATCGGTACTGTTATCATCTTAATTTTTGAAGCTTTCGTCTCACGAGATATGAATTTTTAAAAACTTATTTTACTAACTTCGTAGGATTGATTTACACACTTTATTATATACTCAGTTATCTGTATCTTTTTTCAACAAATGAAACAGCATAATCTTCACAGTTGGTTGTCGAGATGTCATTGACCGCAGTCACGGAAACGAATCAGTTTTTGAAATGAGGATCTTCGAGATATGTGTTCGCGTTATCTTTCTGTTGGAAATCTTTTTTTCGCAGTACCACTTTAGTCTTTGATAGTCTCAATTGTTTCTGATAGTTAAATTTTTCAAAAGTTAGCAAAAATTAATAATAGCAATGTAACAAAGGTATCGCGAAAAATGTCAATAGAATGTACTATGATTTCAGGAACGTGTAAAACAATCTGTTCGAGAATATGTAAGCGTACGATCATGTAAAAGTTTGATTCCAATAAAATAAATTAGAAATATTTAAAATTTTGCCAAATCAAGATTATTTATCCAATATTTTTGCGTTAATGTGTACGTGCGATAGATAAATTTAATTCGCAAGCAATTTATTAAACTGAAGTACATAACGCAACTTACATACTTATTGTTGACAAATTTAGTTTATTAATTAAGCATTTAATAAAATTAAATAGCAATAATGTTAATTTTTTTTTTTATAATAAAACTCGTCAAAACTCATCCACAAATCGAAGCTGTTGTAAAGGTTTGAACTATATCACTATTGTGTATATTTTTTTCCAATCGAGTATTTATGTTAGCAATATTGAGATTAAATTTCAAAAGAGTTTCCAACAAGCGCGATCCAAAACTAATTCTGTTTTCTCGCGCGTGGCACTTACAAAATATATTTTCGCAGTTTGCGTTAACACGCGTTACGTCGTTCGTCTTTGCTGACGGTCGAGCAAACATAGACTGACATATGAGAGCGCCGCGACGCCACGAGACGAATGAAACGCTCGATTGGTAGTTGCGTGCTGTCAGGTAATGCGCGCGGCCCCTGTTTACCATATACCCGATATTCTTCAAATGTTTTCACGCACGTGGAAAGACAGTAGCGTAGCAAATTCGATCCGAATTCATTCGAGTCAAATATCGCGATTTTCGAAATAATTTCGCAGGCAAAATTTTCATACTTCCCTGACATTCTATTTTTTGTTGACAAATTTTAATGCAGTTATTGATGCTAGTTCAGAATTCATAAATTTTCGAGAGGTTCTCTTTCAAATTTATAATTTGAAATTACAACTTAAATTGAAATCAAATTTTAATAAAAAAAATTAATATCATGGTTTTTCTCTCTCTCTCTCTTTCTCTCTTTAAAACAAAGATAGACTTATTGTAGGTAGCATTAATTCCAGATCTCTCTTTTCCCAGATACGTGCATGCCGGGCTTATTGTTAGTAGACGTGCGTTATCATATGTTCTCTCGTTTATTATGCGGTAACTCAT